GGCCCTTGAGGGGAACATGCGTTTGGCTCGGATCGTTCGAAATTCTTAGTTTGGGATCCCCGCCCGCCTGCCTCTGGCGCCCCGCGGGCTTCCTCTGCTTTTTTGCTTTTTTCCCTTTTCTCCCTCCGGGTCTCCTTTTCGCCTCCCTCCCCCTTTATGCTCGCCCAGCCCTCCCCCCGCTGCTGAGAAGTGGGGGAGGGTCTCGTCCTCCAGGTTCCCGCCCCACTGGGGCCCGGGCGAGCATGGGGGGCAAGCAGAGCACGGCGGCCCGCTCCCGGGGCCCCTTCCCGGGGGTCTCCACCGATGACAGCGCCGTGCCCCCGCCGGGCGGGGCGCCCCACTTTGGGCACTACCGGACGGGCGGCGGGGCCATGGGGCTGCGCAGCCGCTCGGTCAGCTCGGTGGCAGGCATGGGCATGGACCCCAGCACGGCCGGGGGAGTGCCCTTTGGCCTCTACACCCCCGCCTCCCGGGGGACCAACGACTCCGAGAGGGCGCCCGGCGGCGGAGGGTCCGCTTCCGACTCCACCTATGCCCATGGCAATGGTTACCAGGAGACGGGCGGCAGTCACCATAGAGACGGGATGCTGTACCTGGGCTCCCGAGCCTCGCTGGCGGATGCTCTACCTCTGCACATCGCACCCAGGTGGTTCAGCTCGCACAGCGGTGAGTCCACGGGTGGTGGAAGGCCTCGGAGGGAGGGCGCGCCGGGGCGCCCCAAACCTTCGCGTGCGTGCCAAGGTTTGGGTGTGTGGTGCTCGACCTGGATCTGTCTGCCTTCCCTTTTGGTTCCCGATGCCAGGGGATGGTTGGGATTCCCACCCTCTAGAAAAGAGGATTTCGGCGGGGCTGCGGAGCCAGGCGTTTTGGGACTCCAGGCGTGTGTTCACTTGTGGAAGGGCAGAGTGAAACCTGCGTATTGGAGTCCGTTTATTGGCATCACCCTCCTCAGAGAAGGTCTTGTCTGGCTTCTGGCAAGTCAGCTCGAGTGCTTCCGTTCTGACACTGCAGCATTGTGGCTACCTCGCTGTTAACGGAGAGATGGATCCAATTTGACCAAGCAGTGTCCTAAACAGAGTGTGAAAAGAAAATAAAATTAGAGGCAAGTGGTGCTTGCATTCGGGCTATCACCCTTACTGGGAGAGATGGGTGCTCAATTTTGCCACCCTGCTGGAGATTTGTTTGAATTGTTTAAAATGGAGCAGCCCGCGGCTGGCATGGACAGGTGTGGCTGCTGTGTGGAGGGCCCAGCCGGGAGCCTCCTGGGCTTTGCAGGACCTGGGCTCTGGTCACCCATGCTGCATGCAGTAGGCTTTGCTCCACGGCCCTCATTCCTCCATGTTTTTTCTTCTGCCCCATGCTAAGTACTTGCTTGCTCTGCCCGTGAATCTGCATCTTTTTGTAACTGAGAGTGTCAGGGTGGGGTGTTAATGCCTAACTATTGGCACATGATGCGGAAGAGGAGGATTCAAAGAATCTTGGATGAATTCATTTTGTGAACTTACGGTGACAGGCCAGCCAAAACCTGGAGGAGGATTTCCCAGGCGTAGACAGGCAGGGCAGAAAAGGCCTGGCAGGCGCTCTTGGAGGAAAACAGGTCTGTCTGCTTGACTATCCTGAGAAGCCAAGTCAGGCTTCTAGATAATTGACCAAAAGGGGTGTGGGGCCGCTATTTGCTTATTGGCAAGTTGAATGAAGAAGTTACATATTCAGACTCATTTGGGTGAGTTGGGAAAATTTAGATATCGTGTAGGAGAAATACTGCTTCTGCCTTGAGGGTACTCTACGGAGACTGTATCTATTGGATCACTGTTTTAGCTTTTGTGAAATACAATTGGCTTTTTGGGCATTCCCCCCTTCCATAGTCTGTTCTCTGTCAATTCAGTAAACTTTAATTTGTGAGATAATTTTGGGAGGGAAATAGTGACTAATTTAAGGTAACACTAGAAAGTGGCTTTTGAATCGTCAGGATATTATCTGAATCCCTGAACAGACTCCAGTTATCACTGGAGCTTCTCTGACCTCATCAAACTCTGCCCTGAAGGAGCTGCAAGGCATGACGGCCTTTGGCACTTTCAGGCATTTTGACCAGCATTTAGACATCTTGAAATTAATAATCTTTCTTATGAAATTTAGTTTAGAAAGAGTCAGCTGTATTTGTGAGGTGATTGTGGTTAGGTTTTTAAAAGAACTGTTTATTGGGTTATAAACTGAAAAGCACTGTGAGAAGATTCTCTAAAATCACAGACGTGTGTGTTGAAAAACATGTAATCTTGAAAAGGATTGTGTGGGGAGAAAGCAAGGGAATTCTCTTTTTGCTACAGTTTCTTAAGTCTGTCTCTTACTAAAAATGTGTTTATCCTTATTCTACTGCTAGGTTCCTTGCTAGAGTTAGGAAACTCACAATTGGTTTCCAAAATTCCTTTCCTCACCTGTGAAACCTTAATTGTTTTTTCATCCAGTTGTGGTGAGGGTATGAAGAACCACTGAACCATGAGGGTTCATGAAAAGTGGGAGTTTATTAATCCCTTAGGAAGGGTGTGTCAAGTGTGTGTGGGAGGCTGCTGTTAATATTTTGGGTAATGTATTCTTTACTGGATCATCTTGTCCTTTTGCAAGACATTGAGCATACCTGACCCCACCTACTAAATGCTAGTGGTATCCTGCAGTTCAGCATGTCACCCCAAAATGTCTCCAACATTTCCCAAATGCCCTTTGGTGGGGATCGTACCACCCAGAATTGCTGCTTTAGGGATTTGTTTTTTTATTCAAATAAAGTAAGTAGCTTGTCCTGTGCAGTTCATTTGAGATAAGCCTTCATATGCAGTTGTGTTATCATCTCACCTCCTAGAACAGGCTACAGACATCCCTTTCCTTTCTTGTCCATTGCTGCTAGAAGAAAAACTCATTTCTACTTCGGAGCTTTTGAGTAAAGTCTGAGCAACTTTTGCTCTTGTGTTGTAAGATTAGAAGGGCAAGGATTTTAGTGCACAGATGACTAGATGCCTGAAGGTTGATGCTGTTGCTTGTGTTTTCAAGGTGCTTTTGGAACTCTTCATAGGCCAGAAAACAGTTGTCGGGGAAGTAAGTGACAGAGTTCAGCATGCACGAGATCTCAGAGAGTATGGGCTTAGGCTGTGTCCAGAGGTAGAATGCTGAGGGCTCCCGGTCCCAGCTAGTACTCCTTCCAGCTGTGACCTTGGGCAAGACAGATCACCTCTGTCCAGCCTCATCTTTGTTATTTTTAAAATAGATGTGGGAATCCTTGTGAGCAGCAGCCAATAACGATGGTTCCCCAAGTCCCGGGAGAGGAAGTACTGCGGTCGTAGTTGTCTCCTCTAGGTTCCTGTGCTTCCCCGGTGCCATGACTCTTGGGCATCCTGTTCCTTATGCCTGGAATGCTTTTCCTTCCATTCTTCACATTGATGGTTCCTTCTGATCCTATGGGGCTCAACTGAAATTTCTCCTCAAAATCCACTCTTTTTTTTTTTTTTTTTTGAGTTGAAGTCTCGCTCTGTCACCCAGGCTGGAGTGCAGTGGCACGCTCATGGCCACCGCAGCCTTAACCTGCTGTTCTCAGGAGATCCTTCCACCTCAGCCTTCCAAGTAGCTGGAACTACAGACACATACCATCATATCTGACTAATTCTTTTATTTATTATAGAGACGAGGTCTGACCGCGTTGCCCAGGCTGGTCTCGAACCCCTGGACTCAGGCAGTCTTCTTGCCTCACCCTCCCAAAGAGCTGGGATTGTAGGCTTGAGCCACCACACCCGGCCTGAAATCCACTCTTAAACATTGGCCCTTCCTGCTGTTCTCTCCAGTCACTCACCTCTTACCTTAATATTAACACCCTTTGTGTTTTATCTGTTTAGTTTTTTCTGTTTGCGGTTTGACAAAAGTCTTAAGCTCCGTGAGAGCAGAACTGTCGTTCATGATCACTTTTGTAACTCTTGCACTATACCTGGCCCTTGGTTGTTTTTTGTTTTTTTTTTTTTTTTTGAGTAAATGAATTTCAGAGCTTTCTGTCCGTCATCTCGTTTAATCATCACTGTAACTGTGAGGTAAGACTATTCTTCTTCCCTCCTCTCCAACTCTACAGGTGAGGAAACAGGTTTAGAGGAAGGTTAAGGAACTCACACAAGATCAGATAGCTATTAGGTGGCAGAGCTGGGATTGAAATGTAGGTCTACTGGTGCCAGAACCTGGGCTCTTAACCAGTACACTCTTCTGCCTCTCATCCTGAAACAAGGTAGTATTCTGGAGATTGTGCTGGCTTGGGAGTCAGAGGCTTTGCTTGCAGTTTAACTGCCTGGCCTGTGTGTGACCTTGCACAAGTCAGTCATTCAACCTCAGAGTCACCATTTCTTCATCTATGAAATGTAGAAGATACCTCTGCTGCTCACCTTGCAGATTCATCGTGAGGGTCTCATGAGATAATGCACACAAAAGCCAAAAGACTCATAAATAGAGAGTGGTAGAATTCCTGTGAAGGCACTTCTGTGGTTCTCTGCCTTGTATAGTCGCCTCAGAAATTGATGGGCAGAGAGGTTTACAACTATGCTAGCTGTAGCTCCCAAATGGGAAGCTGGCACTGGGTGGGCTGCTCATAATCGTGATGCCACTGAGGAGGGCTGCTTTAGAGAAACAGGAGAAACAGTCCCTTCCTTTCCACTTTGGAGCATAAGTTTTGCTGTGACTCCTGATGGCCGTCTGGATGCTTTTCTGGAGGCCTGGCCATTCTTATGTAGTAGTCCCATTTATCTCAGAATATGGATTTCTAGATGTAGAGTAAGAACATAGCAGATCCATCATATTGAAAGAGGTTGCTGTTTCTGGGCCCTACAGTAAAATGGCTGGTTATTGAGGGCTTCACTCCAGCTTCTTCGTCATATATGTTTATACATATGCATACTTAGAAAAATCTAAACTGTTCCATGTTGTCACCAACCCATTTACTGGGACTGAGATAAGGTGACTTTTGACAAGTCTTTGAATATGCTAGTGGGGTATCTACTGGGGTCTGTTTTGCTGCCACTCTTAAGGTTCTCAAGTGACTTAATTTTCTCTGTTGTTAACTAATGGGGGAGAGTTGCCAACTCCATTGAAGTGGATCAGAAAGCCTTTGTGCCCCACCATAGGTGTGTTTGAGGTAATAGGCTTTCACATGGTTTCCTGAGAGGGAAGAGCATTCTGTGGTCTCCCAAGAGCTTAATGGGTCCTCTGCCCTGCAAGAGATTTATTCTTTTTTTTGTAGGAGTCTCACTCTAGTGCCCAGGCTGGTGTGCAGTGGCATGCTCATGGCCACTGCAGCCGCAACCTGCCTGGTTCAGGTGATCCTTCTGCCTCAGCCTTCCAAGTAGCTGGGACCACAGGCACGTGCCACCACGCCCAAGCTAATTTTTTGATTTATTGTAGAGATGAGGTCTCGCCAAGTTGTCCAGGCTGGTCTCGAATAACTGGTCTCAGGAAATCCTCTCACCTCAGCCTCCCAAAGTGCTGGGATTCCAGGCTTGAGTTGCCGTGCCCTGAGTTCTCAATTAATTTTTATTTTTTTGAATTGGAGTCTCACTCTGTTGCCCAGACTGGAGTGCAGTGGCCGCTCCCGGCCACCGCAGCCTCAACCTGCTGGGCTCCGGCGATCCTTCTGCTTCAGCCTTCCAAGT